GTATAACAAACAATTAACTTCATATATTCGTGTATGTATGAATGAATGTATGTATGTATGTATGTGTGTGTGTAATTTTATTAGTGCATGTGTGTTTGTGTATGCGTGTGTGTAATTGTATATGTATAATTGTATATATATGCACATTGCACATACATAATTGTACATGTGTTTGTAAAACGGTAGAAGTGTTTGTGCGATTTGTTTGTATAAACTTTTTTATGCGAGAATATAAAAATTTATTAGTGCGTGCGTGTGCGTGTGTGTGCGTGTAGCCATGGAAAAGTTTATCTGGGTATGTATGTGGGTTGAGTGTTAGTGTTAGAGTTAGGGTTTGTGTATGTGTTATGGCTGCATGTGCAATAGTAACATCATCAGCATTAACCACTAACTACCAGAAACCAGACCATCGTCATCATCATCATTCAACATCCTCATCGTCGTCGTCGTCATCATCATCATCCGTACCATAGACAGATAATTAAATTAAGAAATATCATCAGCTGACCTCAGGTTCAGCGTCGAGGTATGCAGTCAGACAAGTCAATAAAATATACATACATGAATGCGTGCACATATACATACATACATGCATACATACATACATACATACATACATACATACATACATACATACATACATACATACATACATACATACATACATACATGCATACATACATACATACATACATACATACATACATACATACATACATACCTACATACATACATACATACATACACACACACATATATAAAAGTACATACATACACACAAACACATGCACAAAGACATACAAACAAACAACGACAAAAAAACATACAATTGTATATACAAACATACAGATATTTAAAACATTTCATTGCTGGTAAGACGGTTGAAATACATTTTTTTGCGGTACCACAAAAATATGGTACGAAGGTATTTGTAGTATTAATCATATCTTAACGACCTCAAGACAATTAATTATTGTAGCGATTAATGTATGATAAGAAATCATTAGCCACAAGAACGACAGGCACATAAACAAGTTAAAATCTGCAATAGCAAAACGCACATAAGCAGCAACGAAAAACAACGTCATCAAAGCTGAAAACAACAACATCGCGAACATCAACAACAACAACAAAATGACAACAACAACAACAAAATGACAACAACAACAAAATGACGACAACAACAGCAACAAAATAACAACAACAACAAAATGACAACAGCAGCAGCAACAACAACAACAACATTAGAAGCACTAATGACATTGTATCACGAAAATGAATTGATATAACTTAATTCAATATTTATGACGCTTGTCAATATATCAAGCACTCTGTTTACATATTCCTTAAGTGCTTTGTAACTACTACTACTGCTGCTGCTGCTACTGCTGCTGCTGCTACTACTACTACTAATACTATTGCGGCTGCACTTACTTCTACTACTTTTATCACTTCATTTACTACTACTATACTTACTGCTTAATTTATTAACCATACATTTGAACAATCTATTACGTTTGAAATGTATTTTTTGTGGAATATTTATGAAATCTACTGCTAATAATGTTTTTATTATCACTACGGCTGCTGTTGCCACTACTACTACTACCACAACAACTACAACCACAACTACCTCAACCACAACAACTACTACTACCTACACTTTTTCCACATTCGAACAACGTGACCTCGGTCCATAAGATGAAGTAGTTTTTCTGAAGGTCAAACATCTCAAGGTCATCGAGGGGTCACGTGTGGTATTTGGGCACTGGATTTATTATCATCCATTATTATAATAATGAAAGCAATTATAATTTTTTTATCATTGTTATTTTTATCATGTACGCATACGTAAGCATACACGTACACATAGTCACACATACGTACACACACATGCATATACACACATACACACACACAAACACACATACACACACAAACGGATGAAGAGGAAATGAAATATGTCTAAGACCAATTAGACCCATCTTAATTCCGACACTTGTGTGTCCATGTGTGTTTGTTTGCGCGTATGTATGTTTGTGTTTGTGTGTGTACATAAATATATGTGTGTGTATGAGTGTATGTGTGCACGTGCATGCGTCTGTGTGCGTTTTAACGTTTGTATGTCAGTGTGTTTCTGTTTGTGTGTGTGCGAATGTTTGCAAATGAATTTGATTTAATGTTTGCAGTTATTCTTTTTGTTTACTCATTCAGATCAATTGGTTTTGTACTTTTGCTATGGAAGAACTTATTTCGTATGCGTGTGAGTATGTTTCTATTGCGTGTTTGGTTTGTTGTTTTTGTATGTTTGATGTGTTTGTATGTTTGTTGCGTTTGTATGTTTGATGTGTTTGTAGTGTTTGTATGTTTGTTGTGTTTGTATGTTTGTGTTGTTTGTATGTTTGTTGTGTTTGTATGTTTGATGTGTTTGTAGTGTTTGTATGTTTGTGTTGTTTGTATGTTTGTATGTTTGTTGTATTTGTACGTTTGTCGTGTTTGC